AGCGATGCCAAATGTCTATCCATACACCTTCCGCACCTGGCGCGGGGCAGCAGACAGTATGGATCGAGCGCCGACCGCTGATCTGACACTCGCCATCGCTCGGACGTCCACTCCCCGTGCACGTGTCGGCTTCGTGCGCGTACCCTTCGCCAAATTCGGGCCAGGCGAAAGGGGGGATAGCAAAGGGGGGATTTGAGAATCAGCTTACGTAGCTGATTTTCCCAGCGCCTCCCGGCGCCGGGAGGCGGCTATGTATCGAGGGATGGGCCCCTCGGCGAGGCCGAAAACAGCTGCATGCAACAAATTTCGTAACCCCCCCTTTCCCAATCCCCCCCCGTTCGTTGGGCCCGACAAATAACCTACAATGCCCATCGATGGCCGTCCCTGCCGGAAGCAGTCACACGCCCGAACGATGCCGAGCGTTTGCCCACACCCTGCCGCACCTGGCGCCCAGAGCGATGGGGCAGCAGCAGGAGTTCGGATCGAACGTCGCTCGCTGATCTTGAACAAAAAACGTCGTGACCCAGGCGGTATGGCAAGAGAGCGACTGGCCACCGAGCATATACTATTCATTTAGTTATTTGTTTGTTTATTATTATTATTATATATATATATATATGTAGAATTACATTTTATACATACAATGTCTGAGAGCGCGCGCGTCGCCTCGGGGACCGACGCACACATGCAGCAGGAGCTCGACCACGAGAGACCTTCCGCAAGCAGCACAACCCTGAGCCCCCCCGGCGTCCGTGGACTTTTGGTGTGGGAGCGCCGCGCGGTCCACCGCGAAACCATCGAGCCCAGGGAGCCCAGGGCACCCTGGAGGCAGGCAGGGTGTCTCTTGGCACGGGCCCCCACTGGAGTTATGTCGGGCCTGTCCGCCTACAGGGGGATTTTCGACAAAAAATTAAAAATACACCAAAAATAATCCCCCTGTAGGGGGACAGGCCCGACTCAACACTGGAGTCGGAGCGTGCCTGGGGTGCTGCCGATCCAGCGTTCGGGGAGGGAGCCCGGCGCGGGGGAGGACGCGTCGACCTGGCATCGGGGGAACCAACAGGCACTGATACCGCTCCTCCTCGTCCTCCTCCTTCTCCTCCTTCTCCTCCCTCCTCCTCCTCCTCCTCCTTCTCCTACACCTCCTCCTCCTACCTCCTCCCTCCCTCCCTTCCTCCTATGGCTCCCTCACCTCCCTCCTCCCTCCTCCCTACTCCCTTCCGCCTCCTCCCGTCCCTCCCTCACTCCCTCCTCCCTCCTCCCCTCCTCCCTCCTCCCTCCTGCCCTCATCCCTTTCCTCCCTCCTCCCCTACCTCCCTCCTCCTCCTCCTCCTCCCTCCTCCATCCTCCCTCCTCCCTCTCCCTCCTCCCTCCTCCCTCTCCTACCCCCTCCCCCCTCCCCCCTCCCCCATTCCTCCTCCCCCCCCTCACCCTCCTCCTCCACCTCCTCCTCCTCCTCCTCCTCCTCCTCCTCCTCCTCTCCTGCCTCCTCCTCCTTCCTCCACTCCGTCCTCTCCTCATTTCCTCCTCCTCCCCTCCTCCTCCTCCTCCTCTCCTCATCCTACTCCTCCTCTCCTCGCCCTCCTCCTCCTCCTCCTCCTCCTTCATGATACCGCTGCTCCCGGGATATATCCTGGGGGCGTTCCGACCAGAATTTCGAGGCGAAGCCAGCGGTGGCGACGAGGGCCTCCCAGGAGGCCCCAAATTAGGGAAAACGAGGAGAGGGTAGAGGTATGGGTACCTGTTCCTCCTCTGAGGAATCGGCCACCCGCCCCGATCGCTCGGCGATGGGCCCCCGACGACACACCCGCACAGCCACGGGCGGGAAGGGCTCCTGGGGCCCCACGGTCGACGACGAGTGGGCGATCGAGGGTCAATGCGCGCCGAGGGGATCGGGGGAGGCAGGGGGCCTCCCTCCTCCTCCTCCTCCTCCTCCCTCCCCTCCTCCTCCTCCTCCTCATCATCATCATCATCCTCCCTCCTCCTCCTTCTCGCCCTCCGTCACTCACCCTCCCTCCTCCTCCTCCGCCTCATCATCCCTCCGCCTCCTTTCCTCCTCCTTCCGCCTCCTCTCCTTCCTCCTTCCTCATCCTCCTCCTTCCGCCTCCTCCTCCTCCTCCCCTCCTCTCCTCCTCCGCCCCTCCCCCCCCTCCTCCCCTCCTCGATGCCCTCCTCCTTTTCCTCCTCCTCTCCCCCTCCTCCTCCTTCCTCATCCTCCTCATCTCCTCCCCTCCTCCGCCTCCTCCTCCTCCTCCTCCTCCTCTCCTCCTCCTCCTCCTCCTCCTCTCCCTCCTCCTCCTTCCTCCTATCCTTTCTTCCCAATGCGCTGGGGAGCCTGTCAGAGCCCCACACGCCCCTCCTCCTCCTCCTCCTCCTCCCCCCCCTCCCTCCCCTCCTCCTCCAAAAACTCCCCCTCCCTCTCCTCTCGCTCCTTTCCTACTCTCTCTACTCCTCCTCCCCTCCCCTCCCCTATCCCTACTCCTCTACTCCTCCTCCTCCTCCTCCTCCTCCTCCTCCTCCTCCTCCTCCTCCTCCTCCTCCTCCCCCTCCCCCTCCCCTCCCTCCCCCTCCCCCTCCCCTCCCCCCCCGTTCCCCTCCCCCTTCCCCCACCCCATCCCTCCTGCCTCCTTCGATCCGCCTCCCCCACCCATCCCGAGCCTACAGTGAGAACTGATACATAAGGATGCGCAATAAGGATGCAAGCCCTTTGGACGCCCATGCTGAATATTTTCGAGAGGGTCTGGCAATGGAACGTGATCAAGGATGGACCGAGACGGCAAGGATGCAAATGTACACGTCGGTCGGAAGAAGTAGGTATAATCATGAAGTAAGAAGGCAGATAACGTAGGTTGGGTTCAGGCCCTCCCAAGGAATAATACAATACAGCCAGGGCATGCCGGTTCTTGAAGTAGGAAGGCACTTGAAGTAGATTGGGATATGGAAATCCAGAAATACCTACGTTTGACGACCAGCGTGTTACCCTTGCGAAGTTTGCCCATCCTTACTTCTGATTTCGACTGCATCGCCCCCTGTTGTTGCCCCTGAGGGGGGGAGGGCGGGAGAGAGCCCAGGAATCTGCCGGAGTGGGGGAGCGAGGGGGCCATGACGACGATGACCTCCAAGATTCGGCCGCGAGCGAGAGGGGGGGAGGGAGAAGGAGAAAGCCTCCTCAGAAGGCGGCGAGACTTCTCAGAAGCACTCGCGCCTTCTGAGAAGTCCTCTGTGTTGTCGGGGAAGGCCCGGCAGACCTCTCAGGAGGCCGGGGGCCTTCCGAAAGCCTTCTGAGAAGGTCTCCTCATTCTCACTCCTCCCCCCCTCTGGAGCGATCCTTCGACCCCAGCTGCTCGGATCTCGTGTTGCACCTCGCAACAATCTGATCGGAGGTTGGGGGGTGAGATCGCAGTGGAACGGAGACCCCAGCCAGGAAATCGTTTCGTTTCGTGCGTGTCGTGCGTGCGGGCGAGGCGAAGCTGCGTGGGCGCGAGAGGGCAATTAACCCGCCGTTGCTAGGGCGAAGTCAAGACAAATGACTTTCCTCCGTCCGTCCGGCGGTGGCCCTGGCGGTGTCCCGCGATGTCCCGTGGTGTCCCGCGGTGTCCCGAGGTGTCCCGCATTGTCCCGCGGTGTCCCGTAGCGTCCAGTGGTGTCCCGTGGTGTCCCGTGGTGTCCCGTTGAGTGAGATCGATAGTGAGATCGATGGTGGGATCGATAGTGAGATCGATAGTGAGATCGATATTGAGATCGATGTGGTGCCCCGAGGGTCCTAAAAAGTGAGATCGATCATGAGATCGACAGGTGTCCCGTGGTGTCCCGTTGAGTGAGATCGATCGTGAGATCGAAAATGAGATCGAGACTGAGATCGATGTGGTGCCCCGAGGTGTCCCATGGTGTCCAAAAAACTGAAGTCGATAGTGAGATCGATAGTGAGATCGACAGTTGTCCCGTGGTCCCGTGGTGCCCCGTTGAGTGAGATCGATAGTGAGATCGATAATGGAATCGATGTGGTGTCCCGAAGTGTCCCGTGGTGTCCTATGGTGTCCCGTTGAGTGAGATCGATAATGAGACAGGGAATGAGATCGAAAGGTGTCCCGCGGTGTCCTGAGTTGTCCTGTGGTGTCCCGTGGTGTCCCATTGAACGAGATCGATAGTGAAATCGATAATGAGATCGACAAGTGTCCCGTGGTGTCCCGTGGTGTCCCGTTGAGTGAGATCGATAGTGAGATCGATTGAGTCAGATGTTGGTTCCCCCCTCTCCCCCCCCACCACCCCCGTATCACCCGAAGGGTGGTCGTATAGATGCGATGGCACAAGAGATGAAATATGGCAGAAGCCGCGCCGGACCCGAGCTGGAGCACCAAGGGCCCCCCGGGCAAATGCCAAACCACCGCCTTGCCACCAGTGCGCGGAGGCAGGACTTTTTGTCCCTTCCCCCACCGCGGTGGCGGATGGCATGATCGCAGACGCGAAAGCGGTGGCAGGAGCAGCAGAAGATAGCCTGCCTCCCATCTTGTGCCACGCTGGCACAAGACGAGGCGGAGGAGGAGGAGGAGAACAGACAAAAAGGGAGGGGGAGGAGGAACAGGAGGAACAGGAGGAGAAGGAGGAGGAGGAGGAGGAGGAGGGAGGAGGAGGGAGGAGGAGGAGGATATGCTGATGAAGACAGCGTTCTGCAGAAGCGCTGCGCCGATCTTACTGCAAGGTACCCAACCAACTTGGCCCGTGGGCGAAGATCAAAAATTGCAGATCGACTCCAATAGCATGCTTTTCTCAATTGTTTATTTAAATACTCACTACAATGGAAACGTACGAGGTCGCCTTCATGATATTGTTCCTTGTGAGCGGGGTATGCAATATCTTGAGCCCAGCCTGGTCCCCCACGGCGTTCATCGTCACACGAAGGGCAGCTGCATCGGTATCGCGATCTGCGGCAGCGCTAGCAACCTGCGCGGCAAGGAGCTGAATCGCTGCGTGTTCCATCGGTAACCATGTCGGCGGGGCTGCTACCCAAAGAAAGATGAATATTCGGAGAAAACCCCACATTCGCTCTTCGATTCTTTTTTACATGTGAACTCCAGCAAGGTCATACATTTCGATAGATGCAAAACACCCACCCACAACACGAGAAACACGATTACTGGACTGGCGATGGCCTTGGCCTCGCGAAGATATTTCACATATTCCGCGTAGGCGTGCCGAGCAGCCTCCGAATCACCCTGTTCCAATTCATTGCGCACCGCCGACAAACGCTTTCGCAGACTACCACCAATACATCCCGACAGAGCCATCACAGATGCAGCTGCTGGCATTGAGACCGCTTTGCACAAGGCCCACCAAGATATCAACGCGAAGCTGTTCTTGCCGAAGGCATGTGGAGGTCTCAAAGCAAGCGCACCTGCAATTAGGTTGGTCAACGTCACAACGGCTGTCCACCACAAACCGACTGGCAACGGGTACCACTGAAAGAACGTTGACGTTTGAGCAAGAAGCTGCGAAGGTCTTCGCTAAAAAGCCCAAGCGCGCCCATCTGCAACATCACCCAGTGGAGGAATTCCAACGCCGCAACAACTTGAAATGCACATACTAAGCGATGCTTGTCGTAATAATACGCTGCTTGGCCCAACAAAATGCACATGACGAATAGATTCAGGATGAAGGAGCAGGTTCCAAAGAAAGAGCCAGCCGAGACATTCGGCTGGCTCCCCTTGAGCCAGCCGAAACATTCGGCGACGTTCATCAGAGCCGCAATAGACCGAGGAATATCTTCCGGGAGTCCCCCTTGGCCGTCGTCAACTGCGGTGACCTCTAGGGATGCGGAAGGCCGACAAGCCTCACCACGGTCAGCATGTTGTTGGTTATCTTGAACGTCTAAAAAGATGCCCTGCATCATGACGCTGCGCTGCAGCGACAAGAATGGACGACTCGTAACTGGGCGGTCGGGCCTCTGACTGGTAGGCAAAGGCGCGGACCTCGCTTGAGCCAAATGGCTACGGACTCCACTCGCATCCCATTTGGGAGGCATGGAGTCCGGGGGCCCACCCTTCCCAGACCCCCGATGTGATGGTTTCTGGGGAATCGAACTCTCAGGCCCTGCACTGAAATTTGCACAGGGAAGCGGATCCTGGTGTACAAGGGATCTTGGTGTATACATGTTTCCTCGTGTCCCCCGATTCACGGGGAACAAGAATGTACACCACACCAACCCGACGTCGTCCCCGACACTCAAAAAGTCCTGGGATTGAAATACCGCCCGCAACTGGTAATGCATACGTTCCAATTTCCGAATTCCTTCATCACTTCAACCCCGGAAGTCTTGACACGTTCCCCGGAAACGGTTCTCCATCCCGAGTCTCCTTTTTTGATGGTCCCCAGGCTTGGCGAAGGCCCCCAACGGCCGAACCTATCAAGACCCTCCGTCGTTCTGTGTTCCTGACCCGAGGGGTCTGAGTTTGGGCACCCCCCGGCCGCAGAAGCCGACCTCGCAGCCGCTGGATCGGAGACAGCAAGCGACCACAACCACATCGAGGACACACCTGGGGGGATACCTTGCGCGTACCAGAGGTTGTCGGAGGTTCGTACTGGTTATGGTCGATGCAGCGTCCCAATGCGGGCCACGTCGACCACAACCACAATCAGAATGCTGATATCGACGCCGCCGGGTTCTCCCACAGTGGACCCTTCCGGAAAAATTCCACAGGGATCAAATGCACACATCTGTCGTAACGGTTTTGTCCCCCTGAGCTGATATCGATATATACAAATACATATCCATATACACATATATATATACACCTATATATATACACATACATATACATATACACATGTGTCGCATGCGTAGCCGGTTGGGGCCCAGAGCGCTCAGCAAGCGAGGCCACTTGCAGGTTTCGCGAAGTCCTGTATGGCCACTACATTACGAAACTGGAACAACATTATATTCCCCAACCCGACGTCGTGATTTGTTCACAACGTCGACCCTAGGGAGGTCTGGACCCCTTCCCCGGGACCGGTGCTTAATCCTGAGTCGTTTTTTGAAAGTCCCGAGGCCCGATAAGGACCCCCGGAGGCCGACAATAGCGAAAAACCTCCCGTCGCATTCTCTCATAACGCGAGGTGGTCTGGGTATTCATCGCATCATCGAGTCGAATACACGCAAGAGTGACCTTGGGTAAGAGTGACCTTTGGTGCGCGGTTCACTGGGGACACGAGCGCGCAAGACGATACCGCATCGCGTTCCGCGATCGGGGAGCCCCCTTGGGCCCGCACCAGAGGTCACTCTGGCGAAAGGTTACTCTTACGTGTAGTCTTAAGTCGGGCCTGTCTCCCTACAGGGGGACTTTCAACGAAAAATACTCCAAAAATAGCCTGGGGACCATTTTTGGAATATTTTTTGACCTTCTTGGGGCATTCTTGGGGTATGTTTTATTCTTCGTCGAAAATCTCCCTGTAGGGGGTCAGGCCCGACTTAAGTCTAGAAGCCTCCCAGATGGGGTCGGATGCTCCCCGGTGGTCCTCGCCGAGAACACAATGCACACGTCCGAGCGATGCAAAGTCAGTGTCGTCGAGGGGCCCTCCCGAAAAATCCACTCCGACGGACGTGGTTGTGGTTCCTTGCTTGGGACGCACGAAGACATACCAATACTATATGCCCGCCCTGGAGGCGTGCGTCCGACATGGACATCTAGTGTAACCATTGCGTGGAAGATCGTTTCCCGAGCGGCATGGCCAGAGAGCGCCCGGCGCAGGGCTTATGCTATAACATGTCTCGGCGTGCGCGTCGCCCCTTTGGGGGCGACGAAAACATAATATCAATATGCTGGGGTGACGCCGATTGCTGCGCGCGGAGCCGGGCATCCCCCCCTTTCTCCTCCTCCTCCTCCTCCTCAATTATCCTCCGTTACCCTCCTCCCTTATCCTCCTCCACCTCCGTTATCCTCCTCCATTATACTCCTCCTCCCCGCCTCCTCCTCCTCCTCCTCCTCCTCCTCAATTATCCTCCTCCTCCACCAGTATCTTCATCCTCCTCCTCGATCCTCCTCCTCCCCTCCTCCTCCATTATCCTCCATTATCCTCCATCCTCCTCCTCCTCCCTCCTCCCTCCTCCTCCTCCTCCTCCTCCTCCTCCTCCTCCCCCTCCCCCTCCCCCTCCTTGATCCTCCTCCTCCCCGATCCCCCCCACGAGGACCCGCGGAGCGCCTGGGCGGCCTGGTGCGGGCCTCGCGGCACCGCCCGCCGCTTGGCCCTGCTGCCCGGGGCGCGCCGCGCCGCACGCGCCCCACCAGGCCGTGGCCAGGACGAGGCCAAGCTCGGGCGAGGATACTGACTACAGTCGGCATTGGTTGGACAGGACACGCGAGAGGACACAAGACCCTTCCGAGGGCCACGTCGCCATGGGGGATGTGGGAAGCGTGGGTCGCGAGGCACAGGACACAAGGGTACCCTTGAGCTGGCAGGGTCGACCTCCTAATCCGGGCCGACTGTACCTCCCAAACCACCCCAACCCAACCCGAAAACCCGAGTGCCGCCCGAATTTCGGGGGGTTGGAGGGGGTACCAGGCTTCATAAGTGCTTTTCCCGTATTCCCCGACCCCCCCCCCCCCACTGGAACTGGAGGGCAAATCGGAGCCTTCGGGTGGGTTGGGGTGGTCTGGTGGGCGGTGAGGATACAGCGCTGAGCTCTGCATCCGAAGGGGGGCGTCCAGGGGACTCGCATCCTTATCGCGCATCCTCAGGTACTTATCAGTTCTGACTGTGGGCCCCGGGATGAGGGGGGGGAAGGGGGATCGAGGGAGGCAGGGGGGAGGGGAGGGGGAGGGGAGGGGGATGGCGGGAGGAGGAGGAGGAGGAGAAGCAGGAGGAGGAGGACACCCCTGAGACGAATCTCTGAGACGACACCTCTGAGACGAATCTCTGACACCCGCGGACGACTAGGAGGACGAGGACAAATTCGGGGGAGGATACAGTCGGGGCCTTGACCTAAGGAACCTCGATTCCCCCATAGAAAACCTCAGGAACACCGAAGGCAACCTGTGAAGCTATCAAGCAACACCGAGCCCCTCCCAAACGCAAAGGGGTTCCTTGTTCAGCACCCCGACTGTACATCGAAAATATCTGAGCTCCGGCGGCGTTGGAGGACATCTCTACAGGAAAGAAACATGGCATACCATGATCACTCAGAGGTCCGCGCGGCTTTCTCGGATCGGCGCTGGGCCCCCCTGGCGACGCCTCCGGCGCCGCCCCTGGCGCGCTCCGCGCGCCAGGGAGGGGGGTTCTGCGCAGATCCAAGAAATCCGAGCGGAGCGCCAAAAGTTTATGCTTATGGCGTTTCTTCTTCCTCTAACAACGCAACTCGCTTCTCCACTGACGTTTAGCCTAATGGCCTAGTGTCTTGCATTTCTGCGCGCGCACTTCTTTACCATCATCCGCATCAGCGCCACCGCATGACCACGTGGGCCGCGCACGCAAAAAACGCCATAAACGTAAACTGTTGGCGCTCCGCGCGGATTTCTTGGGTCCGCGCCTGAGTCCCTCCGAGAAATCCGCGTGGACCTCCGAGTTCCTATGTTCATATCATCATACAACTGTTCGTTCCCCCAGTCTCGGGCCCGCGGTCTTCTCAGAGCGTTTTGGACAGCGCTGGGCGTTCCCGAACGCTCTGGAACGGGCTTATTCATCCTCGTCCTCGCCCCGTCCGAACCCCTCCCTGCCCAAAAGGCTGGTTCTCTAAATACAAGCATAACTAAGACAGAAAAACATCCTCCAAGAACACGAGACCCTCCGCCGGCCAAACTGAAGCGCATTCGAGGGTGCCCTCCCCCAGGATGCACAAGAACATCCAACAAGCACGAAACACATTGGTGTACCCTCCCCGAACCGACCTCGATCTCACACCTCGGGCCGACCTTAGGGGTTCTTTTTCTGGCTTTCGACATCTGATCGACGATCGAAAAGGGGTCGTTCGAGAGATGACGCATCGACCTTGAGCGCTGGCTTACGCGAGCCGCCAGCGCGGCAAGCCACGTTGGAGACGAGGGCGCGGGCGCTTACGCGCGACCTTACGCGGGCAGCTCGGCCACGCGCAGAGGGGGGTAAGGGGAGGGGGGAAGGCTTCTCAGAAGCACCCCTGCTTCTTAAAAGGCGCGGGCTCTCTCTCTTCTCTGCAGATGTAAGGCCAGCGCCTTCTAAGAACCAGCCTCCTTCCCCGAGATCCGACGTTGCAAACCAAATTGTAACATCGTAAGAAATCACGACCGCACCACCGGACCCCATCTTTCTGCGTCATTTTTCAGACCGGATCGACCTGCGAGGGCCCGGGGGCACGGCAAGAGGCGAAAACGCCCGGCCCCGAAAACATCGAGACGCCCGGATCTCAGGGTTCTAAGAAGCCTCCCCCCCCCCCTAACCCCCCCCTCTGCGCGCCGCCGGGCAGCTTGGGCGCCAACGTCGGCGAAGCCGACTCCGTTTTTTTGTCATCGCTCGCGTGGCCGAAAGGTCGGGGGAATCGTTGGCGGCCAGGAGGGGTGCCTTCCAGGAGGGGGGAACGCAGACAGATCGTTGCCGGCGGCGCGTGCGCGACCCAGGAAGGAGGGCCAGGGACGCTGCGAAATGCTTTGGGCCGCCGTGTAATCTGGGGAAGTATCATGGCCCCCGCCATGATATCACCCCTTGTTGAACGGGGGCCGACCGCGCCGGCACTTCTATGGGCCCACCGCGACATGTCGTTCGGACCCCAAAGTGTTCTAAGAACGAAAGCCGGGTTTTTGGAACGTGAACGCGATGTGTTGAAACGAAACGGCCCCAGCCAAACATTCCCCGAAAACATGTTGTGCAGACCAGAAAAGGTTTCTAGAACATGCGCCTTGGTGGGCCTAGAGGCGAGCGAAGAAGCTTCGCCACTAACCGGGCGCAGGCGATGAAAGTACCCCGGGGATGAAAAAAGCTCGGGGTTCTGGCGGGGATAATCAAAGTTTGTCCTGGGAAATGTAAATTCAGATGGTGATGATGATGACGGTGACGATGATGATGATGCTGATGATGATGATGATGGTGATCCTGGGCACTCGGCACAACGCTCATTAGAGAGATCTCGAGGCTCGTGACTAACCTGGCGCACGACACAAGGCTGACTCGAGGGATCTCGAGGCTCTTGGATACTTGCCAGCAGGCGCAAAACACAAGACTGACCCGAGAGATCTCGAGGCTCGTGGCTAAGCAGGCACACTTTGCCAACGCAAGAAAGGTCCTTGGCCGATCTGGCCAAGAAACCTTTCTTGCGCTGGATGTCGAACCGCTCACCCATGCAAACACGGCATCCTTTGGAACCGTCCCTACAGGGAGATACTTCGTGAATATGAGAATCCCATTGCCCTGCCGCACGTTCGTAACGTGGGCAAACTGAACTGGTGAGAATCCCACACCCCTACCACACGCTCGTGATTGCAGAAGCTGGTGTGGTGAGACCACCATGGCCATGCTCAACGTTTTTGATGATGTTGCTAGTCAACACGAGATGATAACAACTTCGATTCGCAACTTTCCCCGTGGATTTTAAAGTTCAGCTTTCGCGCCCCTCTCCACAATCATATCCACTTGGACGGGAATTCGCACATAGGACGGGTTAAAGGTGGGGAAGGTACATTATCATCGCCCGCATTCGGTTACCCGAATCATGTTCCCCGCCATAACTAACATCCACCCCCTGGTCTGATGGGCCTGTTTCCCACCACCACCACCACCATACATTGGATGGGGGAAGGAGGAGGAGGAGGAGGAGGAGGAGGAGGAGGAGGAAGAGGAGGAGGAGGAGGAGGAGGAGGAGGAGGAGGAGGAGGACGAGGCGGAGGAGGAGGAGGACGAGGAGGAGGACGAGGAGGAGAAGGACGACGAAGAGGAGGAGGACGACGAGGAGAACGAGGAGGAGGAGGAGGAAGACCACCCTCACCCCAACTTATGCTGGTGGTGGTGCAAAACAAGCCCATCACTGGTCATCGCCCCCGTCGTGGCCGCACCGGCTCCAGGCCGGCGCTGCGTCGATCTGCCTTCTGCCGGTCGCGCAGGCAGACTGGGGGGAAAAAGTCCTGACAGGTCGCCAAGAGCAGCCAAGGTCTTGTTTAAGGGAGGGATTATCCTCCTCCGTTCCTCCTCCTCCTCCTCCTCCTCCTCCTCCTCCTCCTGCTCCTCTAGTTCCTCTATGCCGCCTACTCATAGCAGGATTCGCCCCGAAATCGATGGCCAAAGCCTGGCGCCTCGGGGCACTGAAAAAGTTCTGGAGGACGCCCTTCCCCGAGAACCCCTCAGTCGCCGGGGGCGGACACCAAAAATCCAGGTTCGGCCCCCTCGGACCTCGGACCACGGGTCGAAGCACGCGAGAGCGGAAACGGCAGACCCCAAAAAACACCAGACTAAGGCTCCCGACCAGACAGAAGGCGCTCCAGGGTCGGCTTCCCCAGACGGACCGAATCCCTGGGCCGAGACGCCCAGGGGCGACGCTGCCCGCCCCCCACCCCCCCGCGCTCCAAACCCACCCCGAGTCACCCACAGCCTATGGGAGAGACGGGCGCGGGCCAAGGCACTCCTGGACACGGGAGGCGAGCTATCCTCGATCGGAACCCGTTCCTGGCCCCGCACCTGCTGCAGCCCCAGGCCCTCCCAAGACACCCGAAGCGTGCCCATTGGGGCCCGAAACCAGGGTGAGCACCTGGGGCGGGCGAGGCGGGGGGAGGGCCGACCGATCGGGCCAACCCGCGCCAGCGGCCTTTTCCAGCACCGCGCCTCGGCGGCGCAACAGCTACGTCGCGGCGACGGCCGCCGAGCTCACGCGCCTGGCGAGCTCGCCGACCTCCTCGAAGTCGGCGCGCAGCTGGGCCCCCATCTTGGCCCTCTTGTCGGCCTCGTGGTTGCCGATGTGCCAATTGGCCATCGTGCCCGCGCTCCGCTGCGGCCCAGCTGGTGTGGGCTCTCGCCCAACGAAACTCAAAGCGCTCGCCCATGTCGTGAACTCGAAACCAGACCACACCCCAGAGCTGCGCGCACTTGTATTCGGGGCTCCTGCACCAGCCTGGCCCCTCCCGAAAATCACCCACTACATTCTTACAGTCCGTGAACACGCAAAGCTCGCCAGGGGCCGCCTCGCGCAGCGCCCGAGCCAGGGCGTGGAGCTCAGCGAAGCCAATCTTCTGCGCGATCCCAAGGGCGGCGCCCATCAGGCCGCCAACGACGCCCCCATCCTCCGCGACCAAGATGCCT